GGGTCCGCCAGCATGCGGGGCGTGGGGTGGCTGGGCACTGGGGCACGGAGCCTGGCTGGGCCTGAGGGGTATGTACAGGGGGCTGGCAGCTTGGCATGCCCTGCCGCCTGCGCTGCGGGCAGGGAGCAACAAATAATTGTTCAAAAAAAAGGATTGAAGAAAGGCACATACAATTTTTTTGAGAGCTGGAGAAAACATCCAGGCAGAGAACTAAAGACTCCACACAATTCAGTCTAGCAAGAGCGATATGGGACAGAAAGGGTGCAGACAGTATCATTTTAGTGTGTAATGCTATTTATAGGGAATGCATCTGTCACTAAAGTTTGGTTAGGAATACCAAGGTGCAAAGAGAGGTATAACAGAAAAATAAGAGCTGAAAGGTAAAGACAGGTTTTACATAGAAATGAGCTCTTTTGTAAACGATGAGACGGATCTGCCAAGGACAGTAGATATTTTTCCCATCTACCATCTTTAAAATAAACTTGAGTAGCTTTCTGAAAGACTTATGGATGTTAACCCAAAGTACTGGATTCAAGGGCAGCCATTTACCATTTTCTTACCGGTGTTATGGATGAGTAAGACATTTAAATCTTAAAATAACAGAAACTCATCCATTTGGCATCCAGCTTGTGATGTCTCGTACTTGAACTTTTCAATGTGGTTAAGTCTTCAAGCGCTGAGTTGAATGTGCACTTGATACTTTGTTTTGTAATGTGAGTTACGCTGTGATCATGGGTGGCTGAAGACCACAGTGTCATTTAGCAAACAGCTTTGCCAATAAAAAAGACGTTTCTTTAGGCCTATTGACTGTAACCAGGAAGCCAGGGCTGATCAACAGAAGAAAACTTCTCTGTTGTGAGGATGTGGTTGGACTTCAGGAGGGAATGTCATTATGAGACTGTGCTCTTTAGGACAGAAATACTCAGAGCTGGTAAGGATTTTCTGGTGAAAAAAGTAAGTGGGGGTGACTGGGAGATTCACTTCAAAAGTGGAATGTAATGTAAAATGTACATAATTTTATAAAGATAATATTTTTATTTTTCAAACTGACTGAAAAAGGGTAGATTTAGATTAGATACAAGGAAGAAGTTCTTTACCGCAGGGATGGTGAGACACTGGACCGGGTTGCCCAGAGAAGCTGTGGCTGCCCCCTCCCTGGAAGTGTTCAAGGCCAGGCTGGATGGGGCTTTGAGCAACCTGGTCTGGTGGAAGGTGTCCCTGCCCATGGCAGGCGGGTTGGAACTAGATGATCTTTAAGGTCCCTTCCAAGCCGTTCTGTGGTTCTATGATTCAGATAAATAATTTAAGATAAACTGAATTTATTATTATTATTATTATTACTGCTACTACTACTACTAAAATGGCTCAAAATAAAGCACTGAAACTGCATAGTTGTTACAACAGAACTGCAGCAGATGCCAGTTTTCAAGTGAAATATGTAACCGTTCAGGGTTTTGTGCTAGAACAATGCATTGCACCGATGTTTTAATACATTTGGGTTTTGAAAATTCTGTTTAATTACTCTTAAGAGTAGCGTATCTTCTTCAGGGAAAGTGCAAAACAAGTTATCTGGTACAGTCCATAAGTTTACATGGTGCATTTTTGACCCAAATCCACTGCAGAGGTAGTTTGAGAAGCTTATAGCTTTCTTCAGTCTGCGATTCAGCAACAGAAATTTTATAATCCAGGCAATGAAGATCTTAACAGGCCAGGCAAAGCTTAACGTTTGCTGATTCTTTTCTAATCAACAAGTTTGATGCGTATGTTACATGTGTTTTGTATGTAAAATAAATAGTTAACACAAGATATTTTTTGACTGCAGAAGCTTCATCTTTGTCATTTTTTTTCTGTTTTACAAATAACAGAAGACATAACTTCTTATTGTAATCAATCTGTAGCAATGCTGACAGAAGACAAAACAGTTCCATTCAAACAAATCCCTTTGCATTAGAAAATACTTTCTGAAGAGTATGCCTGTGCTGGTTATGCTCATGTGGCCGTGAATGTTTGTGTCCCTGCCTGCTTTCCACATGAGAAGTGTGGGACAACCGCAGTTGGCTGCCATTGCAGAAACCCTCCTCTTTACGCTGCTGCTCTACGACTCCCCTCAGCTTGTTCCACAGACAGGCAGACCAAAATGCCGGAGTATGTTTATGGAAGGGGCAAGACAGGTGTGTCCCCCCGACATGAGGTGGGGGACAAATGTATGAGTTTCACTCTCTGTGCAAAAATCTTGATAGGCCCAAAAGATACTGTGTCCAATAATGATAATATTAATCATGATATATAAAGAAAGGAAGTCCTGCATCAGAGAATTTAGTGATAGGGGTCTTTCCCACTGAAATAGTTGGAACTACGTTCAAGATGCAAATGCCCACATGACCTCACTGCAGTCCTGTCGACATTTGCAAGCTTTTGCAAAGGCGACGCAGTTGATGCTCAGGTTCTAGTGCACACTTTACATGTATTTCAGGGGCAGTTGCTATGGGCAGAGTCTCTGCTTGCCCTTCCATTGACCAAGAACCCAGTTGCTATTGATGACAGATAAAGTGCATTTCTTGATTTAGTTTAATTTCAAAGGAATTCCACTTTTCACATCCTGTTACACTCTGCAACAAAAAACAGAGGAAAAAAGTAAGTGGGGGTGACTGGGAGATTCACTTCAAAAGTGTAAAGTGTGCTCCAGAGTTTAGTATAAGGCAGTTGGTAGCACTGTTTGACAGCTCTCATGGCTTTGCTAGAACTGTGTGCTGGATCACATTGAAATCATGAGGCTGTATCTGCTATTTTCAACAAAAATTGAATCATGTCGTGTTGACAAGTAAAGCTTATATCTTTACTGTGGTTCTCCCTCTTCTTTTCAGCTGGTGTCCTTAATAATTAATAAACTAAGTGTATTGAAGAATATAAGGACAAGTGCATACCAGGCTATGTAACTCTTGCCATCTCTGCAATATAAAGCCTCCTACATACATGCTGCCTTGGAATGTCTTTATTAGTTAAGAAAAAAAAGCAGAAAACTGAAATACATGTGCAACTGAAATACAGAGGCAATTGAGACCAGACGCTGTCTTGATGCTTCTACTGTAGCTGCTATTTTTTTGTTCTGTGTATCAGGTGACTGTTTAAATTTATAAAACATTATCTGAAGAAAATAAATCTTCTTGTAATTGATAGGCTTAGTTATATCTATTTCATATTGAAGTGAATATGTAATTATATTTTCAGCTGTGATTCAAAACTGAAAGCAGAAGAATGAAAAGAAGACATAAAATTCTAATACAGAAGTACTACTTAAATGTCTTCAATGGAATTTTCTTGGTAAAAATTCTGTTTTCTTTTCCTTATTTAGCAGATTCAAATTAATTATTAAAAAATGTTTTGAATTAAAACAATAATCCTCCTTTTTTTCCAGGCTCTGGGTCTTATGCTTTTGACATTTGACCTGTGGCTTTTGTTTGACAGAAACAATTTATTCAGTGTGTTATGTGAGTATAAATAGAATTTTTCTTTTGTTTCTAAACAAGAGGATAAATCAACAGTAACAGTGACAGATTCTTTTTTTTTCACAAGGTGGCAGTATTGCATTGAAATGCATAGATTATTGTTTTCTGTCGTGTATGTTTTCCATTATTAGACATTATGACTATCAAAATAGGGGAAAATATGTATCAGTATATTTACAATTTATATATGATTATAATTTATACAGTTTGTTTATTTCTCTTGGTGTATGGCTTATAGATGGATCACTGAAACATAAAACAGCTTTATTGATCTTTTCTTTATATAATTTACCAGGCTGCATTTGGCCTGCATTTGACAAGATTATAGATCCTTTAGGTGGATCTTTGGGTGAAATGAAGAGAAGTTGGAGCTTGGGCCTCTCCATATAGGTGTTCCTTTTTGCCAGAGTGTCTATCAAATTGTATCACAGAGAAGTAAGTTTTGGGTCACATAACAACAGCTGTGCGCTTCAAGAATTGTCTGCCTTGACTGTGCCAAGGAGCGTCATTTCCCAACTGATAGGATTGGAACCATACAATACAGTAATTCTGGGATGAAGCATTTGAGATGGAAGTAATGAAAGCCTCTGCTGCTTTCCATATCTATGCAAAAATGGTTAAAGTGGAAAGGAGAAAGTGGCCAGTCACAAAGAGGAAGGATAGCATTGAATCTGAGCCTGGATTTAATAAGAACTGTATCTATGTCCCCATAGGATTTGTAGATGTGCTACTAATTTTTGGCAAACAGAAAAAATCTGTAAACTTGTAATTGTTCTCTGATTTCATTGTGAGTGTTTCACATTGTTCAGTTGAGTATGTTCTGTTTACATCTCATGTGTTGTTAACCATCCTCTGACTTTATGAAAATCTATCTTTTTCTTTCTGTGACTGTATATAGCATAAGTAATAATAATGCCCTTTTATCATTCTACTATTTCCATCCTTTCAGTAATAGCATTCCAAACGTTTAATTCTTTTTCTGGAATAATTTTTGTAAGTGGAAGTCTAAAAACAGAAAGAGAAATAACAATATGAATACACTGTGTTACAGTTTCTTCAGGCAACAACCAGGTCATGCCATATATTTTTTATATATTACTTGGAATTGGATCCATTATTACTTTAACGTCATCTGTGGGATTCCTTGGAAGTGTTAAGGAAATCAACTGTCTACTAATTACGGTAAGTGTAAATCAGACTCCGACTGTCTCGTAAAATGAAAGGAAGTTTTGTGTGTGTGAAAACTGTGATCCTGTCTTGATGTTGTGATTTCTACATACTGTGCTTAACAAATCTGCTGACAGAAAGATATTTTAGATAAAGTCCTGGCTTAAATGAAATCTGAACAAAACTGAAGATCCTTCTATATCACTGCATGAATGTTTTCAATGCTACAAAACACTTGTAGTTTGATTCAGCAAAGATTTTAACACTGTATTTATTAACTTGGAGGTTTTAAAATTAATTTAATATTGAAATTATGCAGAGTAACTATGTCTCAATATGTGCTCACACACTTAGTATGTGCTGAAGAAATAAGAAGAACCTGCCCCAAAATACTGCAGGTTGAAGGCACAGGTAGCTACAGTATAGCTACAATATTAAAACGGATAGTATTATTAAAAAGCTGCTACCTATGCAGGCCTACCTGGATATTCCATATTTATGTACAATTGCTGCTTTTTAAGCGAAGAACACTTTGATTTCTGAAAAATTACACTGTAACTATGCATTCTTATGATAATTTTGAATACGTTTTTTCCTTTGTCTTCTGTTGATTGTCACACTTTTTGAGCAACCCGTTTTAGACTATGTGAAGGCTGAAGCAGAGAACTGTTCTATTAATTCATTTGTTAAGCACTATAAATATCAATTGGCACAGCAGTGAGAGGAGCCCAGGTGCTATAATCAGGAATCTTGTTCCTTCTTCCTTGCTGCTACTGCCCTAGGCGTGTAGTGTTTGACTCACAATTTTTTAGATGGTGAAATGGAAAGAAGTATCCCATGTCCAACTTCCATGGAAGTATCTGGTAGCACAATATCTAGATACTGTGGGTGAAAATTTGGTCTCACTGAAAATGAACAATATCAACTATCCTTTTGTTTTGTTTGTATGTCTTATAGCTCAAAGGGCTCCTTGACTAGGCATGAGACTTAGGTACCGTGATGATTCAAACAGGAGATAACGGAACAGGGGTTTTCTTTGGTGGAACACAGCTGCTTAACAACAGCTTTTGTTCTGCACTTCTAAGAAAGTTATGGCTTTGTCCTTAAGCCAGAAACAGTGAGTTGTGCTTTGCCTGAAGCCTGCCTCTTAGGCTATGATGTCAATTTCCAGGAAAAAATTTCTTACTTTTGTTGGAATGACTCTGAATAATAGTCATGCAGGATTATACATGAGCTTCTGGAGTTTTTTATTGCATTGCTTACTTGTTCAATATTATTTTTATACATAATTTGTTTTTTTTTTTCGGTATATGAGTTTTCAAATGCTGGTGTTTGTTACCCAGGTGGCAGTACTGGTGCTGATATTCACGAAGAAAGAAGAGGTATGTAATAAATTATTGTGAGACTGCTGATAATTTCAAAATAGTTTCTTGCAATTGATTTCAAAAGTTCTAATAGTCAGGTCTCACTGTATGCTGTCTCACCATTTGTTTGAACTTGAGTATTCTACATGTTGACCAGGCATAGCAGAAGATGTGGAAAACTTAATTTGAAAAGTTCAACATGGTTCAATAGTTGTGAGGGGGAGTGCATGGAAATATAGTTCCAGTTTCTCCTCTGAAACAAAATTTACTCTTCCTGTTCAGTGATGTGGAATCAGCAGTTAAGGGACAGCTATATTACTTTTCGAGGGATGACCCAAAAAGACCCTCTTTCATGGACATCAGCAGAGGTAGGAGAAAGCATTAGGTGCTAATCTGTGTCTGCTAGCAGGTGATAACAGTACTGTCAACTGTGCAATTGATAGTAGGAGTCATTGGTGTCCCGGCATGCAAAGTATACTAATGAATTACTGATTTTATTGCTTGAGCCTGTATTTTAGGTACAAGTAGAGATCTAATATCAGGAATATGTGTCTTTGCTTTTAACAACAGGAAGCAACAATAAACATCAACGTAGCTGTTGTCACTAGTAACTGTACTGCTTTGAAGCTTTATTCAGTCATTTATTCTTCTACATGTAACAACTCCAATAGCTTGAGCACTCCTCACAGTATTATGTGGAATGTAATCTGTACTGAATCCGAACTGGTCCAGCTGCTTCCCTATTCCATAATTCCAAAATCTGTGGTTTGAGAAAACCTCCCATGACACTGGTCTCGTAAGGTTCATACAGTTCTCCAAATCCTGCTACTATTCAGGCAGGGTACAGCACAAATAAATTAGTTTTACTGCATCAAAATGAATCTATATGATCAAGATTTCTTCATTAAATGTTAATTTATAATAATGGAGTCCTCTCTCTTTTATATGATGGTTTTACATATTGAAAGATTTGAACTGTCAGGAATGATGCATTCTGGAGTCAGCTATTTGTGCTAGGAAAATTGTTGAAAGATTGCAGTTAAATTTATTTTATATCAGCTGTAATTGCACTTGATCTCAACCTTAATTAAGTGTTGTTGAAGTATAATAAATTATGGTAACATCATCATTCACTGTGCAAGCTTTTGCATTTTGCCTTTAGGATGGCTGTAGCAAGGGGAATGAGTTGGAGAAGCCTCGTTTTTTTCTTGTTTTGTAATGAAACTTTTCAGTGGCCTAAGAGGTCTCCTCTGCATGTATTCCATGTTACACTCTCTATAGTCACAGTCTTTGTGATCAGCTTGTCCACTTCAATTGCTCTTGAAGGTGTATTTTAAAAGTGTCTGCGAAGATGCCTAATCTAGGGTCAACATGAGCTGGTAACTCCTCTAGCCCAAAACAATACATGTCCTGGCCAGTGTGGTGCTCAGGCAAGTTCACGTCACATTAAGTGTAGAATCAATTTTGATTTTGTGCTTATTCCTATATGGTGCTGTGCTTATTACAAATAAGTATGAGAGGTAGGATTTAGTATTTCAGGGCAGATCAAGGATCAAGTGCATCTACACTATGTTCCCTGGCTCTTCTGGCTCCATTTGGGCTAATTACCTTGTGTCTGTGCTATGTATGTGATTTCAGTCACTTCATTTATCTTCCCTTTTGTTTTTAACTTTCCCATTAGTGCAGTGGCTATGACATGTCTTAGATCATGTTTGGCAAATTGATTAAAATGCTGCTGCTTTCAAGCAGCCCTTGAAGAAACCTGAATATCAAGTAATGATCAAGGATTGTACATCCACACTCTTATCAATATGTATATATCAAATGCTGTAAATATTTATGAACAGGTCCACAATCAATGGAACAACAGAATTGATGATGTTATTTCTGAATATGGGAATGAGAGTCTGGCTGAGCAGGAACCCGTGTGGAACATTCTGAATGCTGTGCAGCATAATGTAAGAGAAAAACCCTACAAAATATCACCATCAAAAATACTGCAACAACCAAAAATGTGTATACCAATCAGAACTTATATTAAAAAACCAGCTCCTTTAGTAAAGGGTTGATTTTTCAAGATCCATTGCTAATATATGATGTGGGTGGGCAGACCTTGCTGTTATATGGATTATTATAGATGAGATTAGGCTTTTGAAGGACTTGTCATGTATGTAGGAGCAGACAATTCTGGTCATTGAAGTTTACTGCAGTTGAAAAAAACCAATGGGTTTCCTAATACCTTCGACAGTGCTAGATACCATAAACCACTTGGTCTGCTTGGGTCTCAAGATTGACTCGGACAAGCCGAGATGCTGTCAGGTCAAAGCAGAGCTCCTAGTGTGAGAGCATTTGAATAGGTATTGCACTGAGACTCTCTCAGAAATAATGCTTAAAACCTCAAATGAGCTTGCAAATCAGTACTTTCAGCATGCTTATTTAATTATTAATCATCATATTTTTTTTTGTGGCCTTGCAGCATGTGATTTGTTTCCTTTTTCAGAAAAGTCCTTTAAAGCATTTGTATGAGATCAATTCTTTTGAAAGTTGTTAGCAATGGTTTTGACCAGTGGCCTGCTATCCACCCTTCAAATTAATTCTGCATCATGAGCTTTTAATTACAAACACTACAGCTTAACATTTTAATATGCGTTAATATGCTTCTATAAACCAGCTCTGAGTGCCTTAATATGACTTCTTGCAGAGGTGAGTTACATAGTTCTTCACAAACGTTGAAGATAATTTATGATTCCAGATAACTCACAAAGCATATGTGTCTAGACTCAAGATTACAAATGCATTTGTAATGTATATTTAAAATCTGTTCTTTGAAAATCCAGTCTTTTCTCATTACATTCATGATTTTTCTACTGATTAATGGTGACCCCATTATGTCAATGGTGTGACTAGACTATGTGCTGATATGCTTGAATTCAGTTCCATTGAGCTGTTCTGGGAGCACAGATTTCAGCAAAGCTACCTACCCACCATCTACCCTGGTGGCCATGTTTAAATTGTGGCAGATCTTAAAGACTTGTGGATAATTTGCTGCTAGTATCTCAGCCAGATAAAATATAAAATCTGCCAAGGTTAACTCTAATCACACTTTTGAATGAAGCACTGCCATCCCCAAGTCTTGTGTTCCATGCTTCCAGCTCTTTACAGTAGCATCAGCATCTGCCATGAGAAAAATAAAAAGCCTAAGATCATGAATAGTATTAGAGAGGAACTATATTTTTATATGTTCTCGGTAATATTTAATGTACTGCTTAAAGATGGTGATTTTTTAAATGAACTTACAGAGTTGTTGAAATCAAGTGGTTTTACAGAGAAAGGGCAGTTTTGGCTAAGTTGTTGAATTTTTTCAAAGTTTAGAAGCAGTATGTCTTGGGTTGACTCTTCAGAACAGGAAAACATGATCCTTTTGTTTAGCATCTCTGAGCTAAAATATGGCAGACTTTTCATCCCACAGAACAATTCAAACATTTCTGAGGTTTCATCCTGATTCAGAATGAAAAACTACTGGAATTTCCTACCTGGCAAGAATTGCATTCTCCGAGCTGTTTGATGGTTTGGTTTGGTTTGATTTTGTTACTGGTATTGAAATAGATTATTGGGAAGAGCTAGCTGATAACCCATTAGAACAGGGCACAGTATTTGCTTTGTGCTTCAAGTTTGATCTCCGTGTTCACAAGAGATCAATTGATGCTAAAACATGAGTTAGAATAGGGAGATTTTCTAGAGGTCTCTTGCTAAGAGTGAAGAATTTTTGTAAATATGTCAGTAGAAGTGGCAAGGGAATTACTAAATGTTTTCAAAATCTTGTCCTTATTTAAGTTTCTAGATCAGAGTAGAACAAAGTGTCTGTGTTTTTATTTTTCTTAATTAAAATGTGTCTTATAAAATCTGTCCCAATTTACTGCATTCGTTATGTTATTTCCAATAATGTATAATCTTTCTTCTTTCTGTTGTACTTCCCAGTGAGCACATCCTTACTTACCACATAGCATATGGAAATTTCTACACTGAAATTACTTTGGAAGGTTAAGAATAATAGTCAAAATGTTTTACTTTAATCTGGGTTTGTAATTTTTTCTTTTTTTTTTTTTTTCTGTTTACGTGTGTTCTAGAATAATTTGAAGTCTAAAAAAAGTTCCTTTGAGAAGTATATTTTAAGATCATATTCTTAAGTCTGTATTATCCTGTGCATATCATGGGAAATGATACATACCCAAGGGTGAATCGCCCCATGCACAGACCTCTCTCTACTGAATACAGAGGGAAACTCTCTAGATAATTTAATCAACTAACTAATAGCTAGCACTTGTTGAGGTGAAAATTCCACTGTGTGACAGTCTCTACAGGTGTTGGAGTTACCAAGTTACAGGATTTCTATTCTAGATGGAATGTTGTGGAAGATACAATGTCACACAGTGGGAAAGGAATAAAACCAAGGAAAATATTACTCAGATCCCATGTTCATGCACTAAATCCAGTCTGAAGAAATGGTTTTGTGAAGTCCCAAGGGATTCAATGTACAGTATGGTAAGAAATAAAAAACTTGAAGAATGAAACTTCTGCTACTAAATGGTCTTTGAAAAAAAATAAATATACAAAACATGTTTTCCACCAAGAACTGACTTAGAAATGCCAAAGTATTAATAATAGTCATTTTTTAGTCTTTGGTCACTCTAAGGCCTTGTTTTTTACTCGTTAAGTGTCAGTCACGTAGTTCTAAATTAAGGGTACTTCAAGAAAACAGGAGTAGTGCCTGATCAATATCACAGGGACATTTCGTGGTGGTTTAATAACTAGTGAGCATCTTGGCATTCAGAAATCCATGCGGTGCAAATCAATGATGACAATGGAAAGTGACAGTACATAAAAGGTATACAGTACATTTTCGCTTGGAATTACTATTCATTACTTACAGAATGTCAGCAATGTCTCCCTCTGTTTGTATTCTCTATTTCCAAAGCATCTCAAATACTTTACAGGATAAGAGGAATGAGCAAGGCATTGAAATATGAGATGTATTTCCCAAGACCAGTTCATGTTAGCATTTAATGTCTTAATACCAAGGGACCAGTTTGCATAGGACCATCAGGTATTATCACCGGGGCTGGAGAAAAGTGATACATATTATTCTCTTCTATAAACCCTCTAGTGTTAATAGGAGTATCCAATGAGAACAAAAATTTAATGGGAAAAGGTTGTTTCTTGACAATGCAGGACAGTAAATAATAGAAATAAATAGTAAATAATAGAAATAAATAGTAAATGTTGTCAGATGACATCTGGTATTGTCTTCCTTCGCTCATCAGTTTGGAATTGTTCCCTGTTTCTACAAACCTTTGTCGTTATTAAAAGATCAAGTCAAAGTATAGAAATAATTTATTTGTATGTTTTATTATATTTATAGCTATTTTAAGCTATGTAATAATTTATAATTTGTTTTAAAATGCACTATAATAAGCATAGACTGTAATCTGGAAAATATTAATGTCCATTTCAGGATGCATAATGCATGAGAATCAGTGAAAACTTGAAAATATTCTTACAAGCATTTACTTGTAAGATAATTTCTCAATTATACTCACACGAAAACAAATTCTCTTTTGATTAAGTCACAAGCTCTGGAACGTTTCCATACAAAAATACCAGATTTACCTAAGCACAATCTGTTTAGTTCAGATAATTTTTAAAATGTTATAGCTAACTCTCCGCAGTACACATTACTGATGTATTTACTTTCTGGCAAGTAAATATCAGAACCCATCATAACATGTAGAGAGTTCTATTCCATATATTTTAAAAGTATGTTATTATAAAGATGCAATATAAATTAAAAAGTTGAAATTATTTTTCTTGAAATCTGTTCATCTCTACTTGCTTAGGAATGTGAAGAATATTTAAATACATGGTTTGAAAACCATGTTTCGGTCTTAACTGCAATTACTATCAGCCTGCTAATTACACAGGTAAGACTACTTTCAAGCAAAAAATCCAGAAAATATTGATATTCTCTCTGAAATTTTGTAAAGCTTTCCATCAATTTTAATTAGTAGTAAGATCAAGCACTGTTTACCAACAAACTCCCATATATTCAAGCATCATCACAGATGTTGGTGTCCAAGGTTTGTTGAATGAAATGTTTGACCTGACTTGTGAAAGCAAACGGCACTGCGAGGACAAGAAGCAGTTAAAGAGAACGTAAAATCTGTGGAGCAAAAGACCTCTTTTGTCTTCTATTTGGACAGAACCTAGCCATTAATACGCTAAATCAAACAGTACAAAATCATGAAACCTCTCCCCTCACATATCTGTGAGAAAATTTTATCAGGTAAAAAGGAATAAAACTTTCAATATTAAAAAAAAAAAAAGTATGAATAGTGGCAACAAGAATTGATTGTTCACTCCACAGACACCCTGAAGGCTGGCTACCATCAAGCAGGCAGAAGGATTTGTGATAATATCTAAAATTGTGAGGTTGAAAATGAGATTAATTAATTTTTACTCAGAGAATTTTTTTTATCTTTACCTCTTGCATTTGTAGTACCTTCCCATAGAGGTATGTAGTTAAAACATTCTGGCTATGGAGTGGGCCAATTCAGTAACGAAAATGTTCTTATTCATACTCACCTGATCCTTACTAGTGCAGTACAAGAGTGTGTCGTGATCTTCAGTGTGCTATCATTGACGCATTCTTGTCAGACAGGAAAGAGCTGTTATCCCCATTCAAGAGGTTAAGACTAAGTATCATAGTATCATTTAAGTTGGGAAAGATCTTCAACATCATCGAGTCCAACCGTATTTGGATTCATAGGGTACTGAAACACTTAATGCTCAACTGAATTATGAGCCACCTGAAATACATTTCAAGATACTTCTGTGGATATGGGCCCAGGTGACTTGCTGGAGGTGACAGAGCAATCCTGTGTCAGAGCAGAGAATTCAACTTGTGTCTTCAGGGACATGTCCTGATCGTTCTCCTTTATATCGTTCTGCATTGTCATTCAGAGGAGCCAGGCTGGCAGTCAGATTGACTCAATCATGAGTGAGTATCAACACTGTCTTTGTTGTTTTTAACTCACCCTTTTTCCTTTCTCAGATATTTTTGATCACATTAATTGGTCAGCTGTTTAGAAACATCAGAAAGAATAGTATTTGGCCAAATGAATCATGAACTCTTCTGAGCATTGCTGTGGTGCAAGAATTATCTGATCTGTGCCTGTGACAGTCAACAAAACTACTTCCACGAAGTTTTGGATCAAGGTCTACAGATTGCAGTAACTATGATATTAACATTTGGACTTTAATATGTTTGTTTCTTGTTCATGGCTATGGATAAGATAGTGTGATACAAAACTATGTTTGTAAAGACTGAAAAACTATGCCATTTACTAGCTGCGTAATAAAACTTCCCGATAAGCTGAATATTAGTTTCCTGAGTCTCCAGAACAAGTTTGAAACAGAAGGAACCCTTTATTTCAGTTAAGAAAAAACATTTACCAAACATTACTGATACTTCTTTAGGCCTTTACCTTTCCTTCCAGTCCTCTGTTTTGTCCTTGTCTGTTGTGCAATTTAAACCCCCAAAATTTCACTGAGTCATATATATATTGGACTCTTACGAGCTGTTTTCCAGGAAGTGTAGTAGGCATCTTTCATTCTTGCTGAATGGCTCTTACCATTCATTTAAGCAGATGGCTTCAGCCATTTAGGTGGAGTAAACTTGTGTGCTGGTTTTGGCTGGGGTATAGTTAATTTTCTTCACAGGAGCTGGTATGGGGCTGCGTTTTGGATTTGTGCAGAAGCAGTGTTGATAACACAGGGGTGTTTAAGTTATTGCTGAGCAGTGCTCACACAGAGTCAAGGCCTTTTCTGCCTCTCACACCGCCCCACCAGTGAGCAGGCTGGGGGTGCACAAGAAGTTGGGAGGGGACACAGCTGGGACAGCTGACCTCAGCTGACCAAAGGGTATCCCATGCTATATCCCATGCTATATGACATCATGTGAAGCTGGGGGAGAAGAAGGAAGGGGGGGCATTCAGAGTGATGCCTTTTGTCTTCCCAAGTAACTGTTACATGTGATGGAGCCCTGCTGTCCTGGAGATGGCTGAACACCTGCCTGCCGATGGGAAGTCGTGAATGAATTCCTTGTTTTGATTTGTTTGGATGAACAGCCTTTGCTTTACTTAAAGTGTTTTTGTCTAGACCACGAGTTTTCTCACTTTCACCCTTCCAATTCTCTCCCATATCCCAGCAGGGGGAGTGAGCAAGCAGCTGTGTGGGGCTTAGTTGCCGGCTGGGGTTAAACCATGGCAGCTTGAAACCCTAAAACTTTATTTATTCTCTGAGCAGTGGGGTGACCTGGAATACCTTGAAGAAAACTGAGGAAGGCATAGTATTACAAGTGTAGGCAGTAGCATTATTAATTATTTTTGTCTAACACTTCCCATTTCAGTAATCCATTTTCTGATGCTTATAAATTTAGTAACTTCTTTTTATTTAGTCTAAAAAATTTCCATTTGAAGTTCCTGCCACAGGCTGAATTTCATATTTAGAGAACTTCAAATAAAATAAATGTGTCAATTCAGAGGTGAATGGCCTGCTTGGAACAGAATCTGAATCCCAAACTTGTATTTTTTGTTCTGCCACCAGCAAAAATCAAGGAACACAGCAGTGAAGACTCGTCCCACTCAAAGGTTTATCTGCATTAAGAATGGCAGGTACCTGATACCTTGATGTCTGTGGTTGTTTAAGAGATTTTAATCTTGTTACTGATATAATTCAGTCTGAGAATACAATCTGAGGAGGATATTAAATAATTATAAATTAAGTGTTTTTTCAGTAATTTTCGTTTTGCAATTTACATAGTAATTCAGAAAATTAAGATCAAGAATCTAAATTTTAGTTCATATATATAATTCTAAAATATAAAGGTAACCTAACTTCACTGTAACAAACATTAGGTTTAAAAATCCCAATGATCTGGTAAAGTAACAGCAGCTGCTTTTTTGTTAGAAAGTAGATCCATTTTGTTGAATAGGTCTGTGATACAGAGCAGGGTGTAACAACTATTTTTCACTTACTTTTTCCCATGCATCTAATATTCAACATGGAAACTAAATAAAGAATCACAGAGCCATACAATAATATAGGTTCAAATGGACATCTGGGGACTACATAGTCCAGTCCTTTGCTGAAAGCAAGTCCATTTGATCATGTTGTTCAAGGCCATGTCCAGGTGAGTGTTGAGTATCTCCAGGGATGGAGTTTCCACAGGCTCACTGGGCAACCTGTTCCAGTGTTTGACCACCTTCACAGTGAGAATCTTTTTACTTACTTCTGACTGGAACTTCCCATGTCACAGCTTGTGTCCTTTGCCTCTTGAACTACCACTGTGCCCCTCTGAGAAGAGCTGTCTCCATCTTTTCCACTCCTTCTAAATATGTGGTTGAAGCCAGCATTAAGATCTCCCCTTTGGCTTCTCTCTTCCAAGCTGAGCAAACCCAGTTCTCTCAGCCTCTCCTCCTGTGTCATGTGCTCTGGATCACTATTTTGGATTTCCTGTGCTGGAACCGCTCCAATATGCCAATGTCTTTCTAGTACTGGGACCACAGGACTGGATGCAGTACTGTCTGACAAGAGAAGAATCGTTTCTCTCAACCTGCTGTCTGCACACCTGCTAATACAGCCCAGGATGCAGTTGGCCTTCTCTGATGTGAAGGCGCACTGCTAACTTATGTTCAATTTGTTCTCTAGCAGGAGCCCCAGGTGATTTCTGCAAACGTGCTTTCTCCCTCCATGCAACCCGTGCCGCTGCATGGGGTTATTTCATCACAGGTGTCTTTACTGAATGTCATGATTTCCCTGTCAGACCATATCTCCAGCTTATCAAGGTCCCTCTGAGTAGCAGCTCTGCTCTCCAGGTTCTTGACTGTTCTTCCTAAAAGTTGCTATAATTTGCAGAGCTGCTGAAGGTTCAGTTCATCCCATCATTGAGGTCATTAACAAAATTGCCCCCAGTCTTGATCCTTGAGGGGTGACGTAATTAACCAGCCAGCACCCCAGCTTTATGCTGATGATAACAGTCCTTTGAGCCCATCTCCAAGGTTGCCTGTGCTAAGCCGTTTGCCCTTCTAGCAGATGTCAGGTGATTCCCCTGCGTGCGGGGGACAGCAATCACGAGTCTTTCACCTCCAGTTGCCTAAAGAAGGCTTTGTGGACCTTCTTGATCAAGCAGTCTCTGGTAGATAACTACTATGACATCAGCTGCATAAGTTTGTCCTCTGATCCTTGCCCATAAACTCTCAACTGGCTCATAGGCCCTTCAAAGGCAAAACTCTGTGCGTTCTTCCTGAGATATCAAGTTGGAAGGGGAATGCCTCCTTCCCTCCAAGAGCTACATTTTCAGAACTAACAGAACTCTTCAGTCAGTGTGAATTAGCTTCTGTAGATATACAAATACTTTTATTCAGTCCACATGGGATGGTTCTTCACTGGTCTAGTGCAGTAAATTGCGTTCAAATCTAACAAACACCTATTCAGGTTTTGCTGGTTTGTTACACTTAAAATAATTACTTATGCACTCTCCCTGTTTTAAAAGGATATTAAGGATGGGATTATCTGGGTAAATGCAGCCATGTAAAAGCTGGACAAGCATTCTAGTGCATGTGGAAAGTAAGATATTCCTGTAGAGTAATTCATCCTACTTTTCCTAGGTAGGTAGGTGTTACAGAAATACATCCTCTAGAAGTACCTTTATATTTCTGTTTTCAGTGGGAGCCTAGTTGCACTAGCTTATTGTTTCTACAACTTGAAATGATTAACACTAGATTAATTTGATCTCATTTTAATATTATATATTCAAGATTTCAGAAGGCCCCAAATAAAGTCACAGGTGGATTCTGAATTTGTTCCTGATATATCTGTATTATAAAATGGTTGACAATTTTGTGCTCACATACTGGCTTTCCACAGTAGCCTAAAATCCAAATTTTGTAAAAATGTACTGTGGTCTGTACCCAAATATTATTGTAGTATGGGTAGGAGCAGTTCAGATCATCCTCAGTGACAATTTGCCATGCCCAAGTGAGAGGAGAATATTCTTCAGTATGTGGGAAAATAGTACACAATACTTACCAAGACCTGTCATCAACATCCACCATAAAATGTACCTACTGGCTACTAAATATCCAGCAGGCACGTAGGTGATTAGATAATAGACATATGTGTGTGTTCAAGATTATATGTAAAACTGGCAATACTGCCACACATGCCGCTGATGCTTAACAAGAATAAATATTAAAAAACCTGCTATAAATATTTCATTAAAAATGAATTTTTTATTTTATTATTTTTTTATTTTATTTAATTAAAAGAAAGAATAGAGGAGAAAATTTGTAGTATGGAAAATTTGGTGGGTTTTTTAGTGTTTTGAGATAAGAAAATAGAAACAAGTATCTGTTTCCCGATTTGTGCAATTCTGATAGGTAGACACTAGAGGACACAGGGAGCTTAAGAATAATACAGGACATAGGAAAATAAACATAAGATTTACAGAATGCCATAACATACACACCTTATACATAGTCCACACTTTAAAACATATTGAATAAGTCTGAAGGATGTGTGGCACTGCACTGTCAGAGAAAATGTTTATCAGAGACTGTGTGTGTCAAAGGAATGGCATGGGAAACAACTCACAGTAGCTGTGTTAAAGCTCAATAAGGTAGTGAGTAAAGATCCAGTTCAGCTAATTTAGAAGTTGTATCATGAAAATTAGGAGGTTGCCCCTGAAGGGATTATTGGTGTGAGAGTGCAAGGGGAAATCATAACTGAGTAAATTCCCTATACAAATCAGTTCAGAGAGGAAACAGAGACTGGTTACACGGTCACTTTCATGTGGCCTGAAAGCACTCAGCTGCTAAAGAGATGGTCTCACTGTCTTCACGTTCTTAGCCTTGCTTCCATCCCCAACTTGGCACTGGTACCCATGCAGCTTTGTGGGGAACTGGTCCAAGGCCCTGACTGGTCTAAAAAATAATCCTACCAAAAAAAAAAAAAAATAAATAATGTTTCTAGAGGTTTTTTGCTGGGTTTTGTTTTACTTTGATTTATTTGGTTGTTTGCTTTGGTATTTGGGGTTTTTTTGTATGTTTGTTGGGGGTTTTTGCCAAT